GAGGCTGAAATTTTAGGGTAACGACCCCCTGCCCACGCTCAACCTTGCCCATTCAAATTCAACGTTCCCGCGCTCCCAGGTACCACCTACGGGCTAGTGAAGATTTTGGCGGGTAAACTATTAACTCGGGAATCTCTGTTCGCGTATTAATTCATTTCCGCACAAGCCTAAGAAACGTGTACAAACAAGTGAAACTTTTAACGCCAAAATTAATAACTTTGGAACCACAAGCAGCAAAGTTTTGACGCCAAAATTAACATGTAACGTATCAAACAGCAATGCAGTGGATAATTTTAACAGCAAGGTTTCCCTGAATAGAGCTGCATAAGCATCACTTGGGCAGGGTTGAAAAAGTGTCAACCGGACAGAATTCGCAGGCGTATGATCTCACCAACTACCCTGGTGCGTGCCGCTATTTATTATCTGTTAATACCTTCCTGAATTGCTTAAATCGTTGCGCACTCACTGGCTAGATTTTTGCTTCAGGTCTCTTTTGACACTCTTCAGTTGTTTTCCTACCTTAAGCTTGTTTCTGCGCACCACCGAAAGACAGAGAGGCATAAGCAGCCTCACCAGCACATGGTCACTGCTAGTATTTAGTACCGATCGGACAACTTTCTTACGACTTTGCCTATCACAGTTAGCAAACGTCGAAATACCTCTGACATCCAATTTTGACGATAGTTTTTTATACGAAATATTCATAAAAAATCATCGAGACTAGATACTTCGATGGGATTTTCATTTACTGTCGAAGGTTTTTTGGTACCACCACTACTGCTATTGACCTCGTTATAGTTTTTATTACTCGGTACTGAAGTCGCTTTGCCACCATTCCTTAATGACTTCGCGATGCTACAGGTACCACTTCCTCTCTTGTTTAGATCACTGTGGCAGTTAGTATTCCGTTTGACATCATCGCCACATGATCCACTGTTCCTGCCAGTTATCGATGTTGCTGTTGTTTCGAGCAGCAATTGATTAGTTTCACTGGGAATCATCGTGCAGCTTCGCACTGGTGGTTGACATAGACTCGTTCGATTGTTGTTGCTGTTACTGCTGGCAGTTGAAGCAGGTACGGAATTATGCCTAACAGCTCGAATGCTAAATGCGCCAACGCCAGTGTTTAACACGCTTCCGCTAGCAACAGTGCCGCCTGAGGCGCGCCTTCTGTACTGTGGTGGTAGCGTGAAACACGGAAATTTTTGCAAAAATGTAGTTCGATAATCAGTTGAGCAGGCGCAAAAAACGTAAAACTGCGAAGCGTGATTGGTAATCTCAAGTAAATTTGCTACAGCACGAAAAATCTGATAATCGACACGCAGCTTAATTGTCTCATTAATAAATAATAAATTAAGTGCCGCTGGAATATTACAAATGAAAAACATCGCGACGATACCTCCGAGTATGTAGACCAGCGTATCATCTTTACTAGAGCCAGAAGAAGAGGAAGCAATGTTGGTGGTGCTAGCAGCGCCACCAGTACTACTTCTACCAGTGATGCTGTTAAAGAGTTTCGTTGTTTTTTCGCGATTTTTCAATCTGGCAAACAATTTTTGACGTCGACGAAACGCAGTCATAATTTGTATGTTGAGCACTGATAGAATTAGAATAGGTGCAAACCGTAACAGTCCTTCACGTGTCCATTTGTAGATCTGTAACAAGTGGAGAGTTTTTTAGGGATTTTTCACATCTCAGTGATATAACATTTGCTGGTATTTAAAAATAAATGGCAACGCGCACCAGACTAGCCGGTGCGATCATGCGTTTTGTGCAATTCAG